TCACTTTCTGTCAAGCCAGACATCTGGTCCATACTGCTCAGGAATGCTAACACAAGTGGTGTTTGGCCCTCCAGATGTTTCTGGACTGCAGCATCCATCAGCCTTAGGCAGGAGAGCCAGCGGTGAAGTATGATGGGACCTCCAGTCTAACAAAGTCTGGAGAAGGACATGTTTGCCTCTGCATTCTACACTGGCTGGCAGTGTCTTTGCAAAGTTTCAAGCAGGGATCTTTCCCAGTCTTCTCTAGAGACACCAGGGACTGAACCCAGGGCTGTTTGCTTATGGAACACACATTCTGTCATTGAAGGGGCCTAACCCCGTTCATAGCGCATGGAGCCCAAAGTTGCTTCCTGATTACCTCTTTCTTAAAGATATGCTTCAGCTTCAGCAATTATTCAGAATCTGAAGCAAACTGGGGGTATTAGTTCGTTTCTGAACTGATTTGAAGTGAAAGGCGGAAGCCCACAGTGGTGCTCAGATTGAATCAAGTCTCTCTAGAATGCTGAATATTGCTTGGATGCTTTGGTTTAACAGCAAACACATTAAAAAAACCTCTTGACACTAGCAAGTCTTACTCAGGAAAAGAAAGTAATGATTTAACAGAACCAGGAGAGCAACAACTTAAGTACCATTGAAAAGCCTGAGCTCTCCTGCTAACCCCAATCATGGAGCTCCGTAGGAGACACAGATACATGTTAGTGGCCATTTCGTGTTTTGTCAGGGTGAAAGTGAATGTCAGTCTACTAAAGATTGGTATTTGTATCACTTTCATTTTCAGTGGCATTGGGGCTGCACTGAATACTCTTTTTTCTTCTCTTCTTCTAGGGTAGCTGCAAATTGCATTTTGCATTACATTTTAAAATCTAATCAATAGAGTGACTCTGTGTGTGAATTGTTTAGTGATCTTGAGACTCATGCAGGTTTTAAGTGGACTAGATGGCATTAGCACTAGATATAGCACCTAAAGTACCCTTCCCCTCTCTCCATTTTCTACTTCACTTTTTAAAAGCCTCCTACTATCTTTTATTTTGTAGCACTTTGTGTTTTTTTATTTTTATTTTGTTTGCTGTGTGTGCCTGTGTTCCAGAGAGGATTGGGGCAAACCTAAAGCACAATGCAGCAATCAACTACTGTATTCTGCTCACTGGGACAGTGAAGATGCTAAAGGGGTATATACCTTCACCCTTCAATAAACATTTTTGTTGAATAAAATAGATAGTTCCTGGTGGGGAAGGGATGCAGGAAACTGGTGATAGGTTTGCTTGCACAGAGGAAATGAAGCAGTAGTTGATGGCACTGAATCATGTGCAGCCCCATCTCAAGTCAGATTATTTCCCTCATGTGCATGTTTTTTCACTGTTTAGACCCATACAGAAACCTACAAAAACTGCAAATATTCAGATGCAAATCAAAGTGGAAGGACTACAAATCAGCTTGTTAAAGTTAGTTCAAAGTTTGAATCAAAAGAATCGGTTTCTATATTTGAAGACAAAAAGTTCAAGTCAAAGTGGATGGTACCAGCATGCCTATGTGATACCCTTTGTGATGTACTTAATAGAGGGACAGACTAAGAAGACCCCCTACAGGATGGGAGTGGACGTGGTAAAACAACTCCTTGCATACTTTTAAAGACCTACTATGGTTGCTCAAAATCAGTTCCAATTTGAAGGTAGATAACAGACACGCGCAGTACCTTCCTGCACTATGTGCCCTTTGCCACATTATCTTTCCCCAGGATATATCATCTCTGTGATAGATGGCTGGAGGAATACATCAGAACCTCAGTGGCGCATAACTAGCTGTTGAGATAGCAGGACTGGAACCTCTAGTCTGCGCATGAGACAGTGACCCATCAGCGTTTACATCAGGCTCATTTCCCTTTTCCCATTAGTTCTGCAGCTACGTAAGGGAAGCCAAGGCCTTTGTACTGAGCATGGCCCCTGCTTTTGGGTTGGTTCCCCACCTAAACAAGAATGTTGGTTATCAGGTGTCACAGTCAGTGACTTCAGAGAAAAGGCTAAGATGTGGATGGTTTCTCTATATGGGGGTTGTGGACCACAGAGCAGAAACAAGGGTGAGGTCACAATTGGATGTTGAGTTCTGCGCTTGTGGTTGCAGGCTGCCAGAAGAGGGGAGAAGTAGTAAAGCTGATTTTAGAGGGTGTTCCCAATTATCCTTGCCTTCATGTTATTGACTCTGGATATAGAAAACTTGAATCCTTTCATGTAAGTTGATGGAGGAATGGGCTGTGGGGTAGACGGGATAATTAACCATCCTTACAGCCCCATTCCAGTCTCTTCCCCCAAAATACATACATATGTATTTGAGGAGGCAGTGTTTGTCAAGTTAATCATGGGCATATGGAGGTAATTCAAGATCTTCATAATTATTGCTGTTGCTATTTATGATTATAATAGCAGCCCAAGGGTGGGGCGGGGGAAATGAAGCCGACATATCTAGATAATTATTTGTATGTCTCTGTGTATGTGTGTGAGAGAGAGATAGCTTGTATAGACAGAGAGATGGGGAAACAATTGTGAGATCCAGTGCTGTCATCCTACGGAGGGAACTGCTCCCATCAGCAGAAACAGAACAAGGTGAACCCCTTCCGCTGTTCTGTGTGTATATATATATACACACACACACACACACGGTGCATCCTCAAAACCTATGCCAGGTGGTGAGGAGGGCTGCAAGGAAGAGGGGAAGAAAGTCCTCTTGCACTAGGGCACATTTGTGAGCATGATGTCAGATTGAAGCCAAGAAGAGGTTATCTTGAAGGGTGAGAAAAGGGAATGTGACACAAGGATTGCTGGTTTTGACTGAATCAAAAGTCTGTGTCCAAAGCTGAATGGTGAATCCCACCAATAGGTAGCTGGAGTGCTGGCTTTCTGGATCGTCTGGCAACCCTCCACGCGTCCTGCAGACTTCCACTCTCTCTGGCTCTGGCCTCTTCTCCCGCCCATCTGTTTGCCTGCCGCCAACCTTCTATGTCACCAAGGCTTGTTTGCCTTTGTCAATCAGGGCCGCGTGTGAAGCTGGTCCTTGGGGAGCCTTCCATTCATCCCCCTTCAGCCCCTATTTGCCTTGGCCGCTTGCTTGGTCTCAGCAAAAGAGGCCAAGTAGGGAAAGTGCTCTGTGACCACTCCTGCCTTTGCCTGAGGCCTGCCCGCTGGTGCTGGACAAAGCCCAGACTTTCTTCTTCCCCAGCCGCAGCATCTCGGAGCTTCTCCCTCCCTCCTCATGTACACTATACTGCCCATTCATCAAGGAGGAAGCTTCACTTCTGCCTGAGTTATTCCAGACATTTAAATAATCAGCTACTTTTTAACGAGCTGCCCAGGCAGGATTGATCTGCTGGTGCCTAATTGCATTCAACATCCAAACAGATGTTCATCTTATGAGAGGTTCTGGGTGTTGGGACAGGGGGAGGGCTGCCTACAAATCATATTTTGCAGGAACAAGAATCCTGTGGGGCAGCTGAACCAGGATCTTTGTACCTTTTGGTGAAAGGCACGACATCTCTGGCCCCATCTCTCTTTGACACACACACACACACACACACACACCACATCCCTTAGTCGTTACACAGCTCCAGTTTGGTAGGACTGTTGCTTCCTTTGCTGTGGCGCCCTCTGCTGGGAGATGCTGGAGATAAATTGGACAATAGCTCCCCCCAGCCATGGCTGCCAAGGCATCCCCATTCCTTCCCACCCAGAGAGGAAAAGAGCAGCCTAGTCCTGAATGCAAACAGAGGCTCCCACAAGCTCTGGCATTTCAGCAATGTAAGGGGAGGATGTCCGGGAGCAAGGAAAGCACAGATCCAGCAAATGCCAGTGCTTATGGAGGCATCAAATGTGCGTGCTTTGCTTTGCACCTGGCTACGGCCTCTCTTCCTCTGTCCTCCGTTTTGCCTGTCTCACAGGACGTTCTTTCTGGCAGGCAGAGAGGCACATCTGAAATAAGAATTTGGACACAAAGAACATGGGGGCCCTGCCGTGGAATGCCATAGTTTGTGATGGGGAAATCATCTTCACTCTCACCTCCCTTATTACTGACAGCCCTCTGAACCCTTGGCTCTATTTCTGGTCATTCCCTTATGTCTCATAGAATCATGTCTCACAGGACGTTCTTTCTGGCAGGCAGAGAGGCACATCTGAAATAAGAATTTGGACACAAAGAACATGGGGGCCCTGCCGTGGAATGCCATAGTTTGTGATGGGGAAATCATCTTCACTCTCACCTCCCTTATTACTGACAGCCCTCTGAACCCTTGGCTCTATTTCTGGTCATTCCCTTATGTCTCATAGAATCATGAAGTTGGAACTCTATTTCTGGTCATTCCCTTATGTCTCACTAGAACCATGAAGTTGGAAGGGGCCTGGAAGGGCCATAGAGTCCAACCCTCCTGCAAGTTGGAAGGGCCATAGAGTCCAACCCTCCTGACCAATGCAGGAATGCAAATCAAAGCAGATCTGACTGATGGTTGTCTAAGTTTCTCTTGAATGCCTCCAAGCATTGGAGCGTTCACCACCCCTTGAGGTCATTGGCTCCATTGTGGCACTACTCTAAATGCCTCCAGTGTTGGAGCGTTCACCACCCCTTGAGGTAATTGGCTCCATTGTAGCACTACTCTGACAGTTAGGAAGTTTTACTCAACAGAAATCTGGCTTCCTGTAACTTGAGCCCATTGTTGCATGCCCTGTAGTCTGGGATGATCGAGAACAGATCCTGCCCCCCATGACAGTTTTTCAAATATTTGAAAAATGCTCTGATATCTCCCCTCAGTCCTCTTTTCTCAGGGCTAAACATGCCCAGTTCTTTCAGCCTTTTCTCAGAGGGCTTGGTTAAGGCACAGCCTTATAAGGCTTTCCTCATGAGGCTGGACCTCTGTATTTTGTTGACCGTTGTCTATCCATCTTGTTTCACTGAGAGCTTCACTGAGTCAGAAGGGGACCTCTTGGCACTTGTTCCACAACAAGCACTGTTTTGTTTTGCAGGCCGAGTGCATGAACTTTGTCAAGATTCTGCACCTCCACAACCGCACCCACCTTTATGCCTGTGGTACTGGAGCCTTCCACCCCATTTGTGGCTTCGTAGAAGTTGGCCAGCGTGCAGAGGTATGTTCTGCTGCTCAACAGTTCCTCAGGGCCAGAGGTGGCTGCAGGGAAAGGGGGGGTGAGCCGTGAGTTGAGGCCGATGCTAAAGCTGGGCCGGAGAATCATGAAAGCCCCGAGTGCATGTTCCTTTTGCCGACACATTTGTTTGCTTCTCTCCTCCAGGACTCTGTGTTCAAACTGGACCTCAAGAGCCTGGAGGATGGCAAAGGGAAGAGCCCCTATGACCCACGTCACATGGCTGCCTCCGTGTTTGCAGGTAAGGGACTAGATCCCCAGACTGTCACTAACCATGTTACAAATAGGTCTGGCTGAAAGATATTTTGCTTCCTGGGGCAAAAGTCAAAGTGGCCCTCCAGGCCTGAAAGAGAAACAAAATGGGCTGGCAGTTGAGCCTTACTTCAGCATTGTTTGTGGAACAACGTCCTGCATGACCTCTAAGGGCAGCAGACATGTTAAAGGGATGCAACACAGGCCATGTAGCGCACAACCTTGACCAAGGAACTCAGGATTAGGAATGGTCCGGGAATTACATTTCCATCTACCTGGCATCTACGGCCTGAGGCAGTTTGCCTCATTGCCTAATGGTTGTGCCAGCTCTGATGTTGTGGGATGTCCCCATGATATACACAGTCTTTCTGCCTCAATGACCCATAGACATTCCTTGCAATGCTTCGCACTTGAGAAAGGAATATGTTTTTTCCCTCACCACTTTGGCACCACCCTGATCCGAGCAGGCTAAAGACTACAGGACCCAAATTTCAGCAGATCTTTCCCAGCTTTTCTCTCAGAGACTTTTTGTGTCTATGGTGAGGGAAGACTGCTTTCCCTCTGACCTTGTGTTACCATGTGCTGAGGACACCACGGCGCCTACTAGTGCAGTGGCCGTGCCTGCCCTTCTGGATTCCAGCATCTGCTTGGCAAGACTCCAGACGTGGCACCTGCCCCACTCTGGCTGGTAGTCTGCACAGGAGCTTTTTGTGTTTTAAAAAGCAGTAGGACCTTTGCAGGAAGGTGATCCCTTCTTTGGAAATCAAAGAAGGTGCCTCTGGAAAACACTCCAATGCATGGATCACAGCTGGTTGAAGCCGAGATTGGCCATGGTCTGTGGAAGCCGGGAAGCCTTCTAACTAGAAAGTCTGATTCCCCCACCATCACTGTAGGCTTTCAGTAAGATCCTAAAGACTTGTTTGTTCGCCTTGGTATGTCGTTAAACTGGATGTGTTGTGTGATGATACTTATAATTATCTAAGGTTGTGCCTTCTTTTTTCTTTAACTTTTAAATTTTATTGTGTTGTATTGGTGTTGGACGCCTGGCTTTGGGATTAGTTTATAATTACAAAGCAAATAATAAATTCTATAAATAAATACATTTGAATGCTTCTTGGAAATGTTTATTTTAAAAAGCTACACGGAAATCTTTGGAATAAATAGAGGATCATCTTGCATGGTGCAGTGATTAGTGTCGGGCTGAGACTTGAGAAGTGCTGCCTTCTGTCCGTGGGATACCAAGGGTGCGAAAATGGTGGCGCTATGGCAGAACCTCGCTTAACGGTGAGTTTTCAAGCCATAGGAATGCATTGAACAAAGTTCAATGCGTTTCTATGGCTTTTTTTATTCCGTTTAGCGATGTTTCGCTATAGCGAAGGTTAATCCGGAACGGATTAACCTCGCTATGCGAGGCACCACTGTATTTTAAAAAGCTACACGGAAATCTTTGGATAAATAGAGGATCATCTTGCATGGTGCAGTGATTAGTGTTGGGCTGAGACTTGGAGAAGTGCTGCCTTCTGTCCGTGGGATGCTCACTGGGTGACTGTATGGGGTCAGTCTCCCTTTCTCTGCCTGATCTGCTTCCCAGATTGTTGCATGAATAAAAGTCTGCGGAAACTTAATACTGTTTTGGGCCTGTGAGGTTCTGGTGGTGGTGGTGGTGGGGAAATCCTGAATAAATGCCCTGCTTTCATGGCCAGGTGAAGAGTTGTATTCCGGTGTGGCCACTGACCTGATGGGACGCGATTTCACCATCTTCCGCAGCCTGGGCTCCCGGCCCTCGATTCGTACTGAGCAGCACGACTCCCGGTGGTTGAACGGTCAGTGATGGGGTGGTGAGGGGGTGGGATAAACGCTCCAGAAGTACAGAGAATTGGTCAGAATTGAACTGGGAGCTGTGAGGGACGATGGTTTACATGTCCCGCTGAGCCTCTCTTGCCCTGGTAGATCACGGCCAAAGATAGCAGGGAATGCTTATGGCTCTTAAACAGTCTCCTTCAAGTCACTGCATCTTATGAGGAATGTCTGCCACCTAGTGGCCAGTAACCTGTGTGGCTGCTCCCTCTACTCCCTGACCATCACGCTGACCAAGGCACAATGGTGTACAATCAGGAAAGTCTGCATAGCTGTTTATTTTGCTTCATTTTATTAAACAAGGCAGACCTGTCTTGCCACTGTGCAAGTCACAGACATGGCACTTTTAGGAGATGACCTTTCCTCTCTCTCTATGGCCTTTCTACTCTAAACCCAGTCTTGAACTGTTTGGCCTGCTCTGGGTAGGGAGGGAAATGGGCACACTTTGTCTGTGTTTCTTTTCCTTTGCGGAGGTTCTCAGAGGTGGCTTTAATCAGAGAGTGGTGGAGGGAGGAGAATTAAACCCTTTCTTCCAGTGCTGAACTCCTAGGTGAGTTCATGCTGCCATGTACAGTATATAGAGGAGGACCATGGTTCAGTGCTCAGGTCCATGTTTTGCATGCAGATGATCCCAGATTCAATCCTACAAACCCGCAATTAAAGGAGGAATGGGAAAAGTTTGACTATACTATTATATCATTGGACTTCAGGATCCCTTAATCACCCTTCCCATTAACTGTACTGTTGAGCGAGGATTAGTGGAACTTGTAATCCGGTAACATACAGGGGGTCTGACATTCTCCCTTCCTGGTGGGGCAGAGGAAGAGAAAGGTTTTTGTCTGGAGTGTCTCTGCTGCTAAAGAGAACACGCTCCTTGGAATGAGAACTACAGCGGGCACGTTTGAATCAATGCAATTTATGGAGGAATTGGCTCATGACATTTCCATTGATTCAATGGACCTAGTCTAGTGCAACTTACTACACTGAGCAACAGGATTTCAGACATTAAGAGAATAAAGCAGATTGACAGTGAAGAGTATATATATCATCCATTTTTCACTGCCCTCATTTTCCCGATCTGCCATCTTAAAACCCCAGTTCAGAAAAGCATAGCCCTCTCCTTGCCCTGCACTGACTTTATTTCCTGTCTATCTCATCCAAGAGCCCAAGTTCATTGACGTCTTCTGGATCCCAGAGAGTGAGAACCCCGATGATGACAAGATCTTCTTTTTCTTCCGGGAAACCGCTGTGGAGGGGTCCCAGGGACTGGGAAAGCAGACCTTTGCCCGCATTGGCCAGATTTGCCGGGTGAGAGTTCTATGTCTGTTGAGGAAAGAGCCCTAGGCTTGGGGTCAGGCAAGGTCTGGACAGATTGCTACCTATTAAGCAGGTGATGGCTTACAGGGAAGAGGGAAAATTCAACCTGTGCTTTGGCTGAGAAGGGACCCTGAATCAGGGCAGATGCCTTCAGTGGTCCACAATACCAATGCCAGTATTAATCCCAGTCTGTTAGTGGATGTGGTAATTGCTGTGCTGTCAGGGACCAGGGGGGACCCTGTTTCACCTTTGGTGATAAAGCTTTAAAGTTCATCCCCTTTGTAGCCCTTTCTACATTACACCTCATTGATCTCCTTTGGTGAGTCATGGATTCTACTGTGAATCTTCCCTGTGGCAGAAGTGCATAGTGAGTTTGGTTGGGACCCGTACTAGAGGAAGAGATTTAAGTGTCAGGCTGGGACTTGCAGAAGCATCAGAAGGCAGATGCCCCTTACGCTTTGGTCAACCTCTTCCTCTCTCTTCCAGAATGACATGGGTGGACAGAGGAGCCTGGTGAACAAATGGACAACCTTTCTGAAGGCCCGGCTGGTGTGCGCCGTACTGGGCAGTGATGGGAGTGACACCCACTTTGACCAGCTCCGTAAGTAACTGTGGCTGAGCGAAGGCTGGGCTGGAAAGCAGATCTTTCTGGGGCTCCCACCAGAGTCTGTGTGGCTCAGCAGGAAGAAGGGATGTTGCAAAGGGCAAATGGGAAGGGTAGCGAGTTTGTCCTTGGAGGAAGGGAACAACATACAATTCCCTGGGTTGTAGGCATGGCTTTTTCCTGCTATCTTGCAGGGGAACTGGGAGGCTGCATTCACTTCTCTTACTTTTTTAGATTTAAAAATAGAGATGTGCACATGAAGACATTTTTCTTTTTCTGGAGGTTGTTAAAAAGAATTTTATGACGGTGGAACCTTGGGGTGGAACTGATGACAACTGATGTTGATGATAAAGACTGGTGATTCCAGCCTTAAGCAGATAGTTCTGCACTGAAGCCGTTTCCACAATTTCAGCGTTCACTTCCACATGTAGTTAATGATTGTTTTTTGGAACATTTGTTGTTTCTTAAAGCACACCTTTTCTTAATGCTTATCACTGGGATCTCTTGGCTTTCACTACAGCCAAATATTGTAGTCTAAGTAACAAAATCTGAATATCTGATGGCCTTCTGCTCTTACAGATTTTGGGAATGTGATTTTTCAGAAGGAATTGAGTACTTCCTATTTGTTTTAAAGCAGGGCAGAGGCAGAGATTGTGTCTCCCTGCAGTAAGAGTTTGTGTAGGTGGGTGTAGCAAGATTGCTCTTTCCTTTGGATGAGGGGTGGCTGTCATACTCAAGAGGGAAGACTGCAGGCAGATTCTTCCTCCCTCTCTTCTGCTTGCACTCCTCAGGTGATGTCTTCCTGCTGCCTACCAAGGACAAGCGCAACCCATTACTGTACGCTGTCTTCACCACCTCCAGGTAAGAAGAACAGTCTTTATGCCATCCTTGAGGCAAAAGCGGACAAGCTTGAGTTGCTTTTTTGTCTGTTTGTTTAACTGGAAACACTAGAGGCAATGACGTATAGTCAGAATGAAAGAACAGGGTTGCCTCTACACACATTCTAAGCCTAGGAATTGGTTTCCTCATCATGTCTGCTTGGCCTGGTTTTACCACTGCGAGTTAGAAATCCTGGCTGATCTCCCTTGGAACACTCAGAGAACTACCTCTGGATCCCAGTCCTCCTTTCAAACCATCTTATTTAACTTATTTCTCCAGGGTGCCTTTTCTGGCCCAGGTGCAGAAGTTCTGTCTGGTTTTTAGACCGGAATCCCTCTGGGAATTGCAGGGTGGAGGTTGGGGTGACACAGTTTGGTGACTGCTGCCTTCCAGCTTGTTTCCTGGCCCTTCTGTTACCGCTTCTTTTTTGCTCTTCTCCTGCAGCACTGTTTTTAAAGGCTATGCGGC